TCACTAGTGATACATAAAATTTAGAACTCCATCTTGTTTCTTTTTGTAAACATTTGGGATATGTTACAAATCAATGGATAAATGACTATTAGTATAGCCCGGGTTGAACATTCTACAATATCCTACATCATTTAGGATACATTTTAGGGATATACATTTTATTCTGAAGCGATTCAAACTAATATTTTAGGTCCTACTGTTGTATCCCAACCGTCCATCATCATTAACAAACAACTTAGAATATCAACTGCATAATTACAGACAAAATATTGCCATAATTCTCAGCACGATATCCTCATCTGAATATTTAGAGACTATACCAATCATGACAATTTTTATTTATTTTTACCACATTAAGAGCCTCCAATGTTCGTTTTCGGAAAATAAGGACGTTTTGGTATCCATAATTTAGCTCGACCGATTTGAAAAGCTATTTTCAAAGATATATACCATCTTCACAACAGATCTTATGTTTGTAGAAATAATGAGATGTGTAAAATATGAAGAGAACCGGATGCTTATTTCGGAATTTATGATCCTTTTAGTTATTCAAAACTTTAACACTTTATGGGGGAGGTACTAAAAGGAATGGTACGATACCTACCATCTAAATAACAGATCTTGTGTTAATAGATACATTGAAGTGTGCCAAGTCTGAATGGAATCCGAAGTTAATTTCGCGTTTTATGAGCTTCATTGGTAATCGACACTTTGAGCCATTGTGGGGGAGGTACCGGAAAGGTTGATCCAATCTCTAGCAACTTTACAACAGATCTTGTGTTGATGGAAATATTGAGATGTACAAAGTCTGAATGGAATCGGCTGTTAATTTCACGTTTAATGAGCTTCAATGATATTCAAAATTTTGACCCTTTGGGGGGAGATACCAGAAGGAGTAGACCGATACATCCAATCTTCACAGTAGATCTTGTGTTAGTAGAAATAATGGTATGTTCGAAATATGAAGAAAACCGGATGCTTATTTCAGATTTTATAATTGTTTTGGTTATTGAAAATTTGACCCTTTTTGGGGAGGTACCAGAAGGAATGGTCCTATCTGTAACGTTTTTATAACAGATCTTGTGTTGATAGAAATATTCAAATGTGCCAAGTCTGAATGAAATCGGATGTTAATTTCCCGTTTTATGAGCTTCATGGATATTCAAAATTTTGACCTTTTGTGGGGGAGGTACCAGAAGTAGTGGACCGATATATTCCGTCTTAATACCAGATCTTGGTACATAAAAATGTTAGGATGTGTGAAATATGAAGACAATCGGACTCTTACATCAAATTTTATAAGAGTTGTGATTATTCAAAATGTTGACCCTTTGTGGTGGAGTTATTTGATAGAGTGGACCGATATAGTCCATTTGCACCCCTGACCTAGAGCTGACGCAAATATTAGGATTTGCAAATTTGGAGCAAGATCGGATTATCGTTTCTCTTTCTGTGCTGAAAATATAATTTTTTTTTTTAATTTCGACCATTTGTGGAGGACGTACCAGAAGGAGTGATACAACATATTCCATCTTAACACCAGACCTTGGATTAATATAAATATTGGGATATGTGATATTTGACGACAATCGGAGAGTTGTAATTATTCAAAATTTTGACACCTGGCCTAGCACTGACGCAAATATTAGGATATGCAAAGTTGGAGCAAAATCGGATTATCCTTTCTCTCACTGTGCAAAAAATATATTTTTTGAAAATTTCGACCTTTTGTGGGGGAGGTACCAGAAGGAGTGGACCGAAGTTGTCCATCTCCGAACTCAATCTAAGTTTGACAAAAATATTACGATGTACCAAGTTTGGACAAAATCGGATATTCCCTTTGAGAATTATCGTGCGCACTAGCCAGACGGACAGATGGACGGACGGACATAGCTAGATCGACTCCAAATGTCCTGAAATGGATTTGGTCCAACGAAACCTAGGGCCTAAAACCATTATTTCGATGGGACACGCTTTGGTGGTAGTAAATGATATATAGCATCTCTAGTCATATAGCGGAAGGTATAAAAAACTAATTTTTAAAAAATACAAGATCTTTGGCCCTGCTATCCTTGGAAAAGAAAATAAAAGTCAATCATCCTAAACGAGTCAGCTTAAAAATCCAAGAATTTTGGTATTAGTTTTTTATTGATTTAGAAAAAATCAACGAGTTTTAGGGCCTATTTCCATATGACGTTTCGAATGGGATCTTGAAAGAGTTGTATCTATTCCATAAATATTTTTCAAATTAAATTCGGAGGACATGCAAAGATGTGTGTTATTCTTTCGAATCCACTTTTAAATATCAAAATGTCACAATATTTAATCCATACAAAATATTTAAAAAATCCGAAAATATACAAGCACTTGGTCTAATAATACTTGTAAAAATTTATTTTTTTTTTTTTTGCGGAAACTTGCACTTGATTCTTTTTTATTTTTTAATTTAAATAAAAAAGAAACAAATTAAACTTATTTCAATTTATCCCCAACTGCTTTAGTTCTCAATATGTCCACCAATTTTTCTTTAATTTGTGGCTATTTTCAAATATCAAAAAAAAGAGAGAAGAACTCAAGATTACAGAAATTCTTTTAAAAATCAGAATATCGCAATTTAGTTAAGGAAGCAAGTATTCATGCAGTTAAAGATTAGCACATTTTCGAGGCCTTTCCAGGCAATACACGATATTTAGCAATTGAGTCCAAAGTGTATTGGAAAATTGAAAAATATATTATATTAGCACATTTTCGAGGCCTTTCCAGGCAATACACGATATTTAGCAATTGAGTCCAAAGTGTATTGGAAAATTGAAAAATATATTCGTAGTTTAAAAAAATTATCGCTTTTTTATTTCAACAGAAATATGGATATAATCATTAGAAATTAGAATTTAGGTATATTAACGCAGTTCCAATCAACCTTAAACTTCTATTTGGTGCATCAACGTCCGAAAAAACTAAATTTGGAAGGTTGGCTCAAAATTCTTTGACATTTGTAAATTTTTATGTGGTTCTGCATGTGCCTTATTTCAAATTTTTAGAAGATTTCTGCCGATTTTGAAACACTATAGGGTCGTCCAAAGGTATATTTCCTTTTAATTCCTAGTTGCTGTTCTTCTATTTGTATCAATCAAAATCAATCAAAAATCAAAACAAAACAAATAAAAAAGCTGTAAATGCGGCCGGCCGAACTTTAAATACCCTCCACCATTTGGAACTAATTTGGCAATTCTCAAAAACAATAAAAACCGTTAAAAATTCTGTTAAAATCTTAAAAATACCGATTTTAGCTGTTACATTAGGGTCTAAACAACGACATGGACCAGCATAGGTAACTATCCAAATCTGAACTGATCTCGATAAAATTTGGCAAAGATATTTCAGAGCTGTATTCGATATATTTCCTGAATATGGTTGTTACAGAGTGCATATTACGGTTGTGGGTAACAAATATAACAAATCGGATGAACAATATATATGGAAGCTATAGCTATATCTGAACCGATCTTCACCAAATTTGACATACTAGCTTCTAGACTCAATTCAGTCGTAAGTGCCAAATTCCATCCCATTCAGAAAAATATTAGACGTTTGGTGCACAATCAAAGGTAAATCGGACGAAGTTATATATGGGAGCTATATCTGAAACGATCTTGATAAAATTTGGCAAATGTATTTCTGAGCTGTATTTGATATATTTCCCCAAATATTGTTGTTGTAGAGTGTATATTACGGCTGCGGAGGACAAAAATAACAAATCGGATGAGCAATATATATGGGAGCTATAGCTATATCTGAACCGATTTCGATCAAATTTGGCATACTTATTTTCAGACCTAATTTGGGTGTATATGCAAAATTCCATACAATTCAGTCTGATATTACACGTTTGGTGCACAATAAAAGATAAATCGGACGAAGATATATATAGGAGCTATATCAAAATTTTGACCGATTATCTGTAATTTTAATAGATTTCGTCCTTGGGCCAAACAAATTATCTGTGCAAAATTTCATATGGATCGGGCAATAAATGCGACCTGTACTTTGTTTACAAAAATACATGGACAGACGGACAGACGGACGGACATTCATAAATCGACTCAGAATGTAATTCTATGCAGATCATCAAAAGGAACTATGGGTCTATCTCGTTTCCTTTTGCTTGTTACAAACAAATGCACAAAGACATAATACCCTGACCACCTTGTGGTGTAGGGTATAAAAATCAGTGAATAATGTCGCTAAAATCATCAAAATACCGAATATCGGGAGGTACCGTTATATGGGGGCTATACGAAGACGTGGAGATGCACAAACAATTTTCTGTCTTAGGCTGTAGTATCCATTACGAACTTCAAATACCAAATTTGAAACAATTCCGAAATTTGAAAATTTGAATTTGAATCAAAATACCGAATATCGGGAGGTACCATTATATGGGGGACTATACGAAGACGTGGACCTGCACAGACAATTTTCTGTCTTAGGCTGTAGTATCCATTTTGAACTTCAAATACCAAATTTGAAACAATTCCGGTGAATAATGTCGCTAAAATCATCAAAATACCGAATATCGGGGGGTACCGTTATATGGGGGCTATATCAAAACGTGGACCTACATGGCCCATTTTCAATACCAAAAGTCCAACAGACATAACATACATTTGAGTGAAATTTTATCAATCTATTTCAATTCGTTCGGAAGCCAGAGTGATTTCCACAGACGGACACACGGACGGACATCGCAAAATCGACATCGAATTTTATGCTGATCAAGGGGTCTAAAATGTATATTTAAAGGTGTTACAAACGGAATGACAAACTTAATATACCCCCATGCTATGGGGAAGGGTATAAAAATTGCGACACAAATATTTTAAATCATCTCAAACACAGATTTTTTGTGGCCCTTCCACTTTATCTGTCCTTCACAGACTATCTGTCCCTAAAACACCTCATACTAATGACATTATTTCACGACATTAAATTCCACTTACCATATTTACCCATTGGGGTTCTGTTGTCATTATTATTATTCTTCTCCTCCTCCGTCTCCTTCTGCTGATTTTCATTCTTTGGTAAACTTTCGGCTACTGCCTGCAGAACATGGATGTGGGCAATTTTCGGTGAGCGCATGCGTAATCCTTTCATGCTGCCACCAGCACCATTAGGCGGTGATGCGTCTGCCCCAACCTGATGATGGTTGGCAATGAAGACCAACAACAATGTGGCAATAAAAACGCACCAAGGGGTTCGTCTGGAAGACGACCAAGACGTTGCTGATGATGATGAGGTCTGATTTTTTGCATTGTAAATGCAATTATGATTACTTCTACTATTGTTGTTGTTGTGGTGGCAGTTATTGTGATGACCATACATCGGATTCACTCTCATTTTATGATTTTTTTTTTTCAACTTCTTCTTTCAGATTTACACGATTTTATTCTCTTTTATTTTTGCAAGTAATTATTTAATAATAAAAATTAAATTATGCACACAAACACATAGAAAATGGCATTAAACACGCATGTGATTAGGTTGAGGATAGGTTTTTATTAATTATTTTTTTTAATTTCAAAAAAAAAAAAAAAAGAAACTAAATAATTTTTTAAATTCCCTCTGATGATGATTGGCATGGAGAGCTGTAGGGACCAGTTAATGGACTTTTTTTCAATATTTATCTTAGTATCAATCAAGTAATTTGCTGGGTTTACAAAACATATAAGCGTTTACTAACACAGCTTGCAGCTTCGAACTTTTGTCATCCGCTGTTATTTAATTTTCGTTCATCGAGAAAAACAAAAGACTTAAGCAACGAACACGATTTTCAAAAAAGTTGTATTTTTTAATTTTTATTTCCAATTTTTGTAATTTTCCCTTTATTATTTCTTTTCCATCACACCATGTGTTCTTTATTCCCTTTTTAATTCTTTTCGATTTTTCAAGCGTTACAAATTGTTTCTATTTTCTTTGTTCTTTTAGATACTTTTTTCTGGGGAGGGAGAGCGAGAATCCCATCTACCACACGACTGTTTACAATTTTTCGTTTTTCCTTTTACCCGTCAAACACAACCTCGTCTTAGCGAAAACCTTCAACAACTGATGTTTGGTCTTTGGTGTTTGCATTGGTCTTGGCCCAACAAGAGCTGAACTGAACAGCTGTAGCCAACAACGAAAGAAGCCAAAGTCAATGCCAAGGCTGCTATGTTATTGGCCGGTTAAAGTTACTGCAACCAAGCCAAGTTATCTCTTGCCACAAAACACAAGTCAAACTATTTTCAGCTGTTGTTTTACAGACGGAGTGAGAAGGTGAGAAAGCTTTTCTCTAACATTGAGTGAAAATTATTACATTTGAGTGAGATAGCATGATCGGTAACTCTTTACACTGGAAGAAGTTAAATGCAAACAAATCTTTATATATAAAAGACTGACTGACTGAGAACCGGTACGAATTGTGGTCTCAAACGGCCAATTTAACCGTCACACGCAGCCCGAATATTGCTCTGCGGTATTTTGGCCCATTCCCAGCGAAGCGCTTGCTTGAGGTGATTGACACTTTGGTATTTTTTAGTGCCAACCTTGCTTTCCAAAATACTCCAGACACAATAGTCCAACGGATTGGTATCCGGAGATTTTGGTGGCCATTGTGCGCTATAAATGAAGCGAGGAACCTCATTTTGTAACCATTCTCGGGTGGGGCGTGCTGAGTGCAATGGTGCTGAGTCCTGTGGAATGTCCAAAGTCTGCGGCCAAAATGTTTATGTGCCCAAGGCTTTAATACACCCTCCAGGATATTTTCGCGATAATATTCGGCATTTATTCTGATACCACGGTCGATTAATACGAGCGGAGAGCGACTGGTTGTAATGGCGGCCCACACCATCATCATGGCCGGCGCTTGAGTTCTGGTGGCCAACCGAAGGTACACATTTTCAGCTGACCTCTTTGGCAAGTAAACACGATCATTTTGTTTGTTTACAAACTGCTGGACAACGAATGTTTTTTAATCGGAGAAACCCAAATTCGGCAGTTCACCACTTTCGGCCGAGCCAAGCAACTCTTTAGCTCTTTTGAGTTTATTTTCTTTCTGTTGCGGTGTAAGTTCTTGCATTTTTTGTAATTTTAATGGCTTTACCCCGATCTAATTTTTCAATATTTGCCGAATGGAATATTGCGATATGTTCAGCTTACAAGCCATTTTTCGGACACTGCGACGCGCGTTTCGATCAAGTAGCTTCTTTACTTTTCGAACCATTTTTGCTGATGTTACTGCTTTCTTCCGTCCACTTCCTTGACGTCGGGCTACGCTACCAGTATCACGGTAACTCATCAAAATGCTTTTGTACGCCTGTAAACAATATAATAAACTGTCACTGGAATAATTTTAACAGCTGTGATTGATGGGATGGAGATAAAATTCTGAAATTAGATATTGGAATTACTGATGGCATGTGTGTTTGAGATTTGGCGGTAGTTTAGAAATGCGTCGTATATTCATACGAAAAGTACTAAATATTACTAAATTTAGTGATGGGTGATGGGATACGGCTGGAATCCTCAAATTTGATTTGAGGTCTCTATTGGTATTTAGAATTGAGATATGGGAGTGGTTTTGAAGATGTGTATCATAATTGTACGAAAAACACTAGGTAGTACTAAATTTGGCAATGGGTAAAGGGATAGAGCTGAAATTCCGAAACTTTATATTCAGGTCCGTGTTTGTATCTGATATTGAGATATGAATGTGGGTTTTTGGAAACTTGAAACCATTTATCTATCCTGCACTCCATCAGATACTCTCAATTTAAATTTCAGAATTCTAACTCATTCCGTTTGTCCAACACATGTTATTAAATTATACCCTCAGCAATATGGTTAGAGAGGGTATATATCATTTGTATATATCGTCATATATAGGTCTCTTTGGACCAAATCCGTTTCAGGACATTTGGAGTGGTTCTAGCGATGTCTATCCATCCGTCTGTCTGTCTGTCTGGCTGGTGCGCAGTATAACTATCAAAGGGAGTATTCGATTTGATTCAAACTTGGTACATGGTAATATTATTGTCAAACTTAGATCGAGTTCGGAGATGGGCAACATCGGTCCACTCTTTCTGGTACCTCCCTCACGAAATTTCAACATTTTCAAAGAAAATAATTTCAGTGTAGAAAGAGAAAGGATTATCCGGTTGTGCTCCAACTTTGCAAATATTAATATTTGCATCAGTGCTAGGTCAGGTGCGAAAATGCATAATATCTGTCCACTCCATCAAGTACCTCCCCACAAAGGGCTCAATATTTTGAATAATTATAACTCTTATAAAATGTGATGTAATTGTCCGATTTTCTTAAAATTACACACATCACAATATTTTTATTAAGGTCTGGTATGAAGATGAGATATATGGTCGACTTCTTCTGGTACCTCCCCCACAAAGGATCAAAATCCACCCAGCTCATAAAACGCAAAATTAACATCCGATTCCATTTAGACTTGGCACATCTGGATAATTCTATCAATACAGGATCTTTTATAAAGGCGGTAGAGATCAGAATATTCCTTCTGGTACCTCCCCCACAAAGGATCAAAGTTTTGAATAACAAAAACGTTTATAAAATCCAAAATATGTATAAAGTTCTATTTATATTTCACAAATTCCATTATTTCTACTAACACAAGATATGTTGTGAAGATGGAATGAATCGGTACTCTACTTCTGGTACCTCCCCCATAAATCGCGAAATTGACATCCGATTCCATTCAGAAGTGGCACATCTCAATATTTCCATCAACACAAGATATGTTATATCAACACAAGATTGGGCCATTTCTTCTGGTACCTCCCAAATAAACATTAAACTCTCTTTAAATTTCACACAGGCAAACTTTTTTGTCTGCCACATAGGGTTCAAGCCAAGTAACATTCAACTTTCTTTAAATTTCACACAGACAAACATTTTTGCTAACACAAGATCTGTTGTGAAGATGATTTATATCTGCGAACCCCTTTGGTACCTCGACCACAAAGAGTCACAATTTTCTGTCATCACTTACATAGCAAAATATATTCAAATAATCGAACATTGGCTGAGGGTATACGTCTGTCGGCAGAATCGACTGATACTTTTTAACTTGCTTTAAGTACATTTTAGTATTTTTCGTACGCTTTTAGTACGAGTTTCCATAGGGAGGTACCAGTAGTATTTTACATTTTTAGTATTTTACATTTTATAAGAGTTATAATTATTCAAAATTTCGTTATTGTTTCGCCCCTGACCTAGCTAGCACTGATACTAATATTAGGATTGACAAATTGGATAATCCTTTCTTGTATTATGTAATAAATTGTTTTTTTTTTTTTTTGCAACAACAAAAAGTTTTTATTTTTTGTAAAAATTTTAATCTTTTGTAGGGGAGGTGCCAGAAGAAGTGGACCGATATTGCCCATCTCCGAACCCGACCTAAGTTTGATAATAATATTACGATGTACCAAGTGGACCAAATCGGATACTTGGATCTGGTCCAAAGAGACCTAGAGTCTAAAATCGTTATTTCGATGAGGCACGTTTTAGCCGTGTCAAATTATTATGAAATATTATTATTTTTTACAAAACTATTCTTCCATCTGCTGTCATCAGGGTATAACAATGTCATAGTATTTTCTTGTTTCTTTCACTCCATCATTAACATTGAGTGAAAGCTTTCGTTACTGTCTAATTTTAACATTGGTATTTCGTGTTCTGTTATTTTCATTCTACAGCTTAATTTTTCAAAACTTCTATTCCTTTCAAATGCAAAACCAAAAATATTTTGAAATTAATCTTTGTTTTGTGTTTTATCTAAAACCTAACATGCCGATGAACTTTCTTCGTTTTTGGCTTCAAATCTTGGCGTCTTAAACAGTTTGACCCAAAAATTTTATGTGAACAAAAAAAAAAAAACAGAATAACAAAACAAATAAAACCCAGATGTTATCATAAAATTTAATTGTCTTTAACCCAAGTTTCATTTCAATTCATTTAGATTTTAGAATAGATTTTAAAACGTTTTCACCAAAAGAAATTAAATAATGATGGGTTTCTACGCAGGGGAGAGAGCGAGCGAGAGCAGTTAGAGGTCGTCAGGTGATCCATTGCATTAGAAGGTGGAAAGTGAATTTTTGTTCTCAACGAAAGATCCATCTAGCATACTAGTGGGTTGGGGATTTTTAAGGTTGTGGTGCACATTCCTGGTGTCGCGAGGTTTCTCGTTTAAACTCTCTAAATATAATTTTTATTCCTAGGAATAAGGGGTCTGCAGTAATTTAAAGCAGTGGAAGTACTTATATATTTTAAATAATTTTAATATATTTTTTTATTTTTCCATCTACACAAGTTGTAGAACTTTTATTTTTCAAAACCCCATCAGTTTTGAAACTTGTAAAAACGACGTTAAGTTCGGTTGGGTGAAGATGTCCTCAAAATCATTAAAATTTCGAAATTTAATTAAATGGCAGCTAAACCTATATTGGGCACTTTATTTTGACATGGCCAGTTGATAGGAGCCAAGAGTGTTGAAAATTGGGGCCAATATTTTTGATATACTACTAATAAGGTCTTTATTTAATGGAGGCATTTTTTGAAATTTGAATTTTTATACACTACACCACATAGTGGTAAGGGTATTATGTCTTTGTGCATTTGTTTGTAACATGGAGAAGGAAGCGAGATAGAACCATAGTTACTTTAGAGGATCTCCATAGAATCACTTTCTGAGTTGATTTATGCATGTCAGTCCGTCTGTCCGTTCGTCTGTCCGTCCGTCTGTCTATGTATTCTTGTGAACAAAATGCAGGTCGCATTTATTATCCGGTTGAGATGAAATTTTCCAAACAACATTTGTTTGGCCCAAGAACGAACCCAATTGAAATTGGAGATAATCGGTAAAAATTTAGATATAGCTCCCATATATATCTTCGTCCGATTTGCCTTTTATTGTGCACCAAATGTGTAATATCAGCCCGAATAGTATGGAATTTTGCATATACAACCAAATTAGGCCTGAAAATAAGTAAGCCAAATTTGATCGAGATCGGTTCAGATATAGCTATAGCTCCCATATATAGTGTTTATCCGATTTGTTATATTTGTCCTCCGCAGCCGTAATATACACTCTTTAACAACAATATTTGGGGAAATATATCAAATACAGCTCAGAAATATATTTGCCAAATTTTATGGAGATCGGTTCAGATTTGGATATAGCTCCCATATATAACTTCGTCCGATTTACCATTTATTGTGCACCAAACGTCTAATATTTGCCCAAATGGGATGGAATTTGGCACATACGACCGAATTTAGCCTAGAAGGTAGTATGCCAAATTTGGTAATGATCAGTTCAGATATAGCTATAGCTCCCATATATACTGTTCATCCGATTTGTTATATTTGTTACCCACAGCCGTAATATGCACTCCGTAACAACGATATTCAGGGAAATATATCAAATACGGCTCATAAATATATTTGCCAAATTTTATCGAGATCTGTTCCGATTGGGATATAGCTCCCATATATATTTTTATCCGATATTTAGTCCTTTGAATTTTAAATTGTAATTATAATCATAGCGTGTATGATTGAATTCTCCCATAAAAACTTTTGATTGTTATGCTTAGCTCTACTAAATTAGCAAAGTGGTGTAGGGTATCATAAAGTCGGCCCCGTCCGACTTTAAGTCTTTCTTTACTGGTCTTATTCAAAGACATAGAAGTATAAAGATGGGACAAGACAGAGTCAAAATATTGTCACCAGGTGTAAATACCTCTGTTGTTACGATATCATAACAACATACTCACCAATGTTAAAGGAATTTAACAGCAAATGCAATTTCCAATCAATTGAAAACGTCAATGAATGCAATTTTTAGTCCAAATTTTTGGTTTACAGAAAATGTTATTCTTAAAATTGCTCTGTAAATATGATTTTTCTGCCAACATGTCCCTGTTGTGAGCAGCGCCCCTATATATTTTTCACAGTAACTATTTTTCCATAATGCATTTTGTCCAGTCTTTACCATTTTAGGTCTTTGTTTTATTTTTCTTTCTAGACAAACATGCCATGGAATACTTGCAAAAAGCAGAAGAAAGGAAGTGTACAAGTTGTAGAACTTTTATTTTTCAAAACCCCATCAGTTTTGAAACTTGTAAAAACGACGTTAAGTTCGGTTGGGTGAAGATGTCCTCAAAATCACTAAAATTTCGAAATTTAATTAAATGGCAGCTACACCTATATTGAGCACTTTATTTTGAGATGGCCAGTTGATTGGGGCCAAGAGCGTTGAAAATTGGGGCCAATATTTTTTATATACTGCTAATAAGGTATTTATTTAATGGAGGTATTTTTTGAAGTTTGAATTTTTAATAATATTTTTAATTAGTATATTTAAAAATAGAACAGTGTTGGCTTGTTTGTTCGGGATACCATAGTATTTTGTTGTTGCAAAATGGTCAGGCTTAATCCCTTTATTGTTGTTTTTATAAAAACAACGTTTGTTTATTAGTGTAGAACGATGGTAAAGTTTACCAGGGGGGTAAATATTTTTAGGTATTATTTTTTTAACTATAAGCGGTTTTTTGATATCTTTTAACCATGAATTTTTGAAAATGATATTAAATGCGTTTTATTATTTTTTTAATTAAGGATTTTTAAATAGGTTTTTTAACTATTTTTTTAAACAATATTGATTTTTTAAACAACATTTCTCACCCTGACTTTTTTTAAGTTTTTTTAATCGTTGATTTTTTTTTTTTTTTGAAAATGTTCGAATTTGAATTTTTCGGATTTTTAAAAATTATTTTCATTTTTGGAGTTTTTGGACGTTTTTCAATCGTAAGTTTTTTTAAATATTTCTTATAGTGGATTTCTTGAAAATAGTATTTACCGTGAATTTTTGAAAGTAATATTAAACGCATATTATTATTTTTTTTTTAATTTAAATGAAGGGTTTTTTAACTTTTTTTTTTTTTTTTTGATTTCTTAAACAATATTTTTTTCCATGATTTTTTTAAATTTTTCTAGTTGTTCATTTTTTTTTTTTTTGAAAAAATTGAATTTTTAATGTTTTGAAATATATGTGTGTATTTCTGTGTTTTTTTTATGCGTTTTCAGAAGTTTTTTAATCGTGGACTTTTATTTTAAAAATATTTTAATCATGAATTGTTTGAAAATATTTCTAATCGTAGAGTTTTTTTTAAATATTTCTTATAGTAGATTACTTGCAAATATTTCTAATTTTGGATTATTAGAATTTATTGCATATTTTTTTAAACAGTTCTACACGTGGGTTTTTTAAAAATATTTTCAATAAAAATGTTTTTATATATAAAATTTTGAAAAAAAAAAACATTTTTTTAATTGTTCACAATTTCAAAAATATTTTTAATTATGGATTTTTTAAATATATTTTAAGTGCCGATTCTTTGAAACTATTTTTAATGGAGTATTTTTCTTGCAAATATTTAAAACCTTATGTTTTTCAACATATTTCTAATTGTAGATATTTTGAAAGTATATGGATTCTAAAAATATATTTTTAATTAAAGATTGTTTTAAAAATATTTTCAACTACAATTTTTTTTTTAAACATAGAACTGAAAAAAATCTCATACATAGACTTTTTTGAAATATTTTTAATAGTCGAAATTCTAATCGTGAACTTTTTAAAATATTTCTAATAGATTTCTAGTAGATTTCATTAAAAATATTTCTTATTTCGGAATTGAATTTTTTTTTAATATATTTTTGAATCATCTATTCAAGTAATTATTCATTTTGATTTTTTTTTTTTTATTTTCAACTTTAGATTTGGAAGTTCTATTGAATGGGGGGCTAAACCTATATCGAGTACTTTTTGGATAGAAATCTACTTACAAAGGATCCGAAACACAAAATTACAGCTGATTTATTAAGAAAAATCTTCGAAATACCGAAAAAGCAGAAGGTACGAAAAAAGGCACACTATTGTTAAAGTGGACCTATTTTTTTAAAATGTGATTTAATCTATTCACAAAAGTGTACAATAGTTAAATAAACAATAACAAAATTTTGTATTAAAAAGGAATATTATTTTTTAAAAAATAAATAAAACTTCATGGAATCTTGTATTTGTCTTCTTATTTTCGTTGTGCTTATCTAGAGTAAGTATTAAAAATCACTTAACAATAATTGTTATAAATTATAAAAAACAATGTCATATTTCATAAAAACTTTGAAAGCCATTAATAATCTTGTTGAAATCCATTTTCATAACGTTTTCTTTGGTATCAGCTCGTCATTGTATTTTGCGCCTAAAATTATGCTTTAAATTTGCACCTAAATATAGGGTTTTATATTGGGACTGGGTAACACTGGCAAAGACATGATTATAGCGCCATCTATTGAAACACATGATCTTATTTGTGGGAATTTTTTTTCAAAATGCAAAAATCTTGATGTTTATTACAGTGGAACCTCCTTAAATGTCATAAATTCCCCCCATTTTTTTATATTTTAAAATTTAATTTTTTTTTACGTTAAACGAAGTTCAACACTTTAAAAATTGAATTTTAACGGCGAAAATGGTAGTTAGTTTAGCTTCTGTGTGACATGTTCATTGGTTATGGAGGAAATATAATCTTTCCCTTCACTTCGATTTAATCCTATATCACATTTTATCATTAAAATTTTCAGTTTATCCTTTTCTCCAACCAGGGATATTGATCTAAACATCAACTGGCGGACAATGATATTTTGTTGTCGAAAGTGTTCATAATTCATGGATTACATCGTCAGTTGATGTCTTTGAGTAAAATGGACAAAGAACAACATTTTAGTGTTTGTATGTATGTTTGTTTCCTTTTATACCCATTCAGCAGTTGTATATAATGCTTGTCAATCCCCAAAATCGCTCATCTGCATGAGCTTTACTGTTAATCATAGAAAAAAAATTGGTCATTATAACATGGTTCCACTGTAATAAAATCGTAAAAAATTGCAATTCAGAAAACATTTTCGCCAATTTCGATCATGTGATTCAATAGATGGCGCTAAAACCATGTCAATGCCAGTGTTGCCCCAATATTACAATTTTAAATTTTATTTTCAAATAAACAAATTTCAAAGCATAGTTTCAGGCGTATATGTCGTTGGGAGGAAATATAAATTGAAATGCGTCAAATGAATAATTCAATTGTTTTGAAGGCAAAATTCAGATAATTTAATGAAGAGTTCTAAATATGTCTCTGATTAAAGGACTTTTAACTACTATTTTCAAATATTGTGGCAATTTATGTGTGGGTATTTTTAATACTTACCCGACATTCAATTTCCAATATAAAGCAAACAAAATATTAAAAGGATTTTAAGTTTTTTTTTTTATTTGTTATGTTTAATCACAAAGCAAATTTTAAATTTTATTGGGAATATTCCATATTTTATTATAGGACAAAAGGCAAGGGTCGAATGTTCCAGGTACTAATTTCAGTCTGCAAAGAAAAAAAATAATAATATTTATTTTATTAATTTTTGGGACATAGTTTTGAAGAAAACTTTAAATTTAAAAATCACAAAGATAATCAAAGTAAATTTCAGCGGCAAAAATTTTCTTATAATAAAATCAAATAACGATTTTTTAAATCATACTTTTTAAGGACCAATAATCCTAGATTCTTATACCCTCTGCTAGATAATTTGATACGGTCAAAACGTGGCTAGTCGAAATAACGGTTTTAAACCGTAGTCTCTTTGGACCAAATCCGTTTCAGAACATTTGGAGTCGATCTTGCGATGTCCGTCTGTCTGCCTGGTGAGCTCGATAACTTTCGAAGGGAGTATCCGATTTGGTCCAAACTTAGTACATCGTAATATTATTATCAAACTTAGATCGAGTTCGGAGATGGACAATATCGGTCCACTCCTTCTGGTACCTACACCACAAAAGGTCGAAATTTTCAAAAATATATTTTCTGCACAGAAAGAGGAACGATAATCCGAATATTTCAGTCAGTTCTAGGTAAGGTGCAAAAATAGATAATATTGGTCCGCACAATCAAGTACCTCCCCCAAAAAGGGGCAAAATTTTGAACAATTACAAGTCTTATAAAGTGTGAGTTTATAGTCCGATTGTCTTCAAATTTCTCACATCCTAATATTTTTATCCCAATACTTCCGTCATTTCTAGGTCAGGCGCCAAAATGGATAATATCGGTCCACTCCATCAAGTACCGCCCTCACAAAGGGTTAAAATTTTGAATAATTACAACTCTTATAAAATGTGATGTAAGAGTCCATTTGTCTTCAAACTTCACGCATTTAAATAATTTTATTAGCCTAAGGTCTGGTGTTAAGATGGAGTATATCGGTCCACTCTTTCTGGTACCTCCCCCACAAAAAGTCAAAATTTTCAAAAACAAAAAATATTTTCTGCACAGAAAAGAAACGATAATCCGATTTTGCTCCAACTTTGCAAATCCTAATATTTGCGTCACTGCTAGGTCAGGTGCGAAAATGGACAATATCGGTCCACCTCCAAAAATCTTCGAAATTTTCAAAAAAAAAAAAAAAAAAAAAATGAAATTAAATTAAATATTTTCTGCACAGAAAGAGAAGCAAAAATCCGATTTTGCTCCTACTTTGCAAATATTTGTGTCAATTCTAGGTCAGGTGTAAAAATGAATAATATCGGTTTACTCCATCAAGTGCCTCCCCCACAAAGGGTAAAAATTTGTATTTTTGTTTTAATTTTAACTCTTATAAATCGATGTAAGTTTCCGATTGTCTTTTCACACAACCCAATATTTTTATAAATTTTTTTATTTAAATTTCTGGTACAAAACCCCCCCCCCCCCACAAAAGGTCGAAATATGGAATATTCATAAAGCTAATAAAACGCGAAATTAACATCCGATTTGATTTAGACTTGACACATCTGAATATTTCCATCAAAACAAGATCTGTTATAAAGGTGGTAGATGATATCGGACCATTTCTTTTGCTATCTGCCCAACGAAGGGTCAACGTTTTGAAAAACCAAAACGTTTATAAAAACCGGAATAAGCATCAGGTTCTCTTTATATTTTACACATACAAACATTTTTGGTAACACAAGATCTGTTGTGGAGATGGGATATATCGGTCCTTTCCTTCTGGTACCTCCCCCACAAAGGGTCAAAATTTTGAATATCCATGGAATCCATAAAACGCGAAATTAACACTCGATTCCTTTCAGACTTGGCACATATTTCCACCAACACAAGATCTGTTATAAAGATGGTAGAGATCGGACCATTTCTTTTGCTACTTGCCCCACGGAAGTAACCCCCAAGGAAGTAACCATAATAGTCCAAACCTGGCACGTCACAATATTTATATCACATTTTTTTAGGTCCGATACGAAATGGACAATATTGGTCCATTCCTTCGAAACCTACTCCATGGAGGGTCAACAATTTGAATAATCATAACAGAAGTCAAATTATATTTAAATAATCAAACATTGGCTGCGGGTATACATAATGTGACCATTTATATTTTTCGTCTGAGCGGGACGTCTGCGGAATTTTGTAAAAAAAATTATGCATTTAAAAACAAATTTTATTCAAAAACGGAGAGAATACGTATAAATCTAATTTATGAAATTAATCTTATGTCTAAGTATTTGTTTTATATTTGTCAGCAGAGCAAATTAGTTTTAAAATATCGGGTCTAGTTTTCAAGTAGGAATGGAGCTGATTACATTGTTTGTTGATGTTAGTCTTAGTAATTAAAATAGCTTTTAAAACTGTCACACTTAACTGCGTCTTTTCACTTGTCCATATTTTATTCATTAGGGAAAAAACTCTTTCGACAGGTGCGTTACTTCCAGGCATACATAAAACATACTCAATAATTGTGCGAAAGTTTGAGCAGTTGAGATTATTAGCACGGAAGTGTTTAAACAGCTCCACCCAACGGTCTTCAGTAGCAACATTCTCATCGTTCCAGCTTTTGATTTTTTCAACTGTGACGTAACTGGAAATAAGCAAAAACTCATCGAACACCTCCGTATCTTGGCTACTGCTAAGAAATCTTTGTGTGATCAGCAAATCCGTCACATTCTGTACGTCTTCCCAAGTAGGGACTTTTCTCAAATTTGACCATTCAAATACTGCTAGTTGTGCATTGAACTGGCACCACTGTTCCAAGTATTCTTTACTTGTCTTATAAAAATCCGCTGCCGCAGTTTTCACATTCTGCTCATCAACAGCAACGTCAGTTTTTTGTAATTTTACCAGTAGATTGCGGACGGAATGAGGAAGGAAAATCGAATTCTCTTTAAGTTCTAAGTTATCTCGGAGACGATTAATTTCATTCGCAGACTCTATTGCGGACACGTTTTGTCCCTCGATTTTCAACACGGCTTGATGAAAAATCGCTGTCTGTGCGTGCAAAAAATATAACCACAATTCAGAGCTGGGATTTTCGAAAAACGTTTTTAAAATAGTAGGGCATTTATCTATGCTCAGAAAATAGGTTTTCAAAGGCTGAAACATTTTTAAAATTCTCTCAAGCGCCTTTAATGCCGGCGCAAGCCACCTTGTTTTACTGTAGCCCAACAGTTTCTGATACTCTGTGTCGGTGGAATCACAGAACTCTTTCAGAACTTCTACCCGAATGCTGTAGATGTAGAAGAATGAATAAATTTTCACAATGATGCATTCGAAGTCAACAGGGAGACAATCTGCGGCTGTTTTGATAGCATTATGAATTATATGGGCTCCACACCCAATCCCAATGAGCTGCCTTCCGACGGATAGGTTCAATTTCGCGTAAACATTATTTATCCCTTTTCTATTCTTTCCTCCGAAATTGCAGTTTGTATTGTCTGCACAAAATGCCACAATTTTCTTATTCAAATCATTGCAAGATAATACTTCTTTCAAATAATCCACAATTATATCAGATGATTCGCCTGGCTGCTTTTGAAACTCTAAAATCCTGACTCTCACGCCTTCGTATGGTACAAAATAGCGAACTAAAACAGGGAATAATTTTATTGAGCCATGATTGGAAGCAGTGGGCTTCGTGAAGGTGTTCTTTCAATTCGTCCATCGCCATAGGTGCCAGCACATTTACAACTATAGCTTGTGATTTTGTACGGGCACATCTAAATTTTTGCTCAAAACATGTTTGTATTAGATTTGAAGCACAGTCATTCGAACGAAAACTGTGGTTTTCTTGCACTGTGTGGTACGCCCACGCACCCTCCGCTGCAGCTATATCCAAGTCTTTGGAAGTCGCCAAATTTGTTCTTTTTAAAAAAGAAAGCATTGACGAGCTTGAAGCGGCAGCTTGATCAGAAAGCTTGTGTTTTTCCGATTTTAAATGCTTCTCAATATCACTGGCACCACCATGTCCAACACTAAAATCAGTACGACATTTTTCACACGTAACGTCTGATTCACCACTTCTTTGTTTTATAAATGGATACTTATTTTGCAAAGAAATGTTAAAAGTACACTTGCGTTTAGGCATTATTGTAATGTTACAATCACTAACATTGAAAATAAATTGTTTGACTTTGCTCGCCTTCTCCGACTCCGCGATGAAAAGATACCAGAACAATTTAGAGCGTCTATGCTTAGGGTACTGACAGAGTGACAGAAACTTTTTCTGTTTTTATAAGCATTTTTAATTTGGTGATTTCCCTTGTTATGCTGGAGTTAATGTCAACGGCGTCGACGACGCCGAAAAAGTTGAAACAGATTGAACTTTTTCGGCGTCGAATTTCTTACGGCGTTAAGATTAACTGCTCTCATAAAATTTCATACGATTCAATTTTTTTGACATTTGACGCCGTCGACGACGTCGACATTAACTCCAGCATTAGCATTACAAAATCTTTCGAGTTAATTTTAATGTTAATGTTGCTTGAAAAAAACTATGCAAATAAATTATATGTTCACGGGGAAAAATAACTCATGTATTTTTCATCAATATCAATATCCAGTATTTTCGAAAGCGGGACATTTTTGCTCTCGCTGGGGACAGCGGGACAGATAACCTCAATGCGGGACTGTCCCGTCCAAAGCGGGACGTATGGTCACGTTAGGTATACATCTGTCGGGAAAACCGACTGACGCTTTTTAATTTGTTTTATATTTTGTTGCAACATGAAATGGTGTAAAACGGTCGTCAGACCTTTTGCAACATCACACTAAAATTAACATCATACCAAAAGTTAGTTGGCCCAACATGTTCCACCAGACCAAAGCATGACGTCAAACATGTTGCCAGCAGATACATAAATCAAACACGTTCAAAGCTTATCATTTTGCTTTCATTCATGTTCGATGTGTCAAGCCAAGACGTTGGTCGTGTCTTCTTTGTTGTTAGTAAACAAAAAAGCCAACAACAAAAAATAAGAAAAGAGAAAAAAAAAAACGAACAGCAGGCAAGTAAACAAATTTACGGCAGTGAGTTTAGTTAATGAAACACACACTCATGC